TGTTCAGCATCACATGGTGAGCAGTTGTGTAAATATCACTTCTGATTGTGCTTTGGCCAGTTTGTATTCTGCTAGGACTGATTGTCTCTAGGCATTACTCTCTGTGATGATTCAGGACGTCGGGTAGGTAAATGGACTTTGTAGAAGTTGCTATTTAGTTAAGAGACACAAAGGTTGACCTTAAACTTAGGTGATATGCATAATTGCTGGAATCATGTGCTATTCTGCTTATTTAGTAAAGGATACTTGACATTTCTGGCTCTGGAATAGACTCATACGTACCTTATTGGTTACTTATGGGTTGGTTTCTCACTTAATCTTAGTCACCTTAAACACTGTCTGCATTCATCTTTACTGGTAAATGCATTCATCTTTACTGACTTTACCAGTTTATAGTTGGATGATGTTATTAAATCAACTAGGAGAACAATTTCCACTGTCATAGAGTCAGATAAGGTATGGAGTAGTTTATATTAGATTAGTTGGATGTACTTGTTCCGCATTAATTGATGGGTGGGTGATGATTGTTTATGTAATAGGGTGCTGCAAATGTTTTGTTAGTTGATTTTTTTGGTCTCCTTTTCCTGCTTCGTTTAAATTTGATTTTCAAAGGTGAATGTTTGAAAATTGTAATGCAGGTTGATGTAGTTGTTACAACAGCTGGTGGTGTGGAAGAGGATCTCATCAAGTGCCTTGCACCCACATATAAAGGTGACTTCTCTTTGCCTGGAGCTGCTTTACGCTCGAAAGGGTTGAATCGTATTGGTAACTTGTTGGTTCCTAATAACAATTACTGCAAATTTGAGGACTGGATTATTCCAATTTTTGACAAGATGTTGGAAGAGCAGACTTCAAAGGTATCCTTGTATGTCCCTCTTTGTTTTGTTTTACTAATTTGGTGTTGTTGTAGCTTAATTCTTGCATCAGAATTGGTTTGGGTCCATCTTAGTGTCACTGGCATTTGACAAATTGGTTTTGGATCTAATTGTACTTTAAATAGCATGCTGTAGTTTTGAAGCTGTAAGCATAAAAGCGCAAATGATGCGTGCTAGCCACTCCAAGGATCAAGATTGCGAGGCTGTATACTGTCATTTTGGTATCAAAATTTCATTGTTTTGGGATAGCTTATGGTACTGGATGCCATGCCATCCATTGGCTGCTTTAAGATGATAAAATTTTGGTGGATTACTCTTAGATGTCTTGAATGATTGCAGATTTGTATTAGCCTTACTTGTGCTTGTAAAATTCAATATCCTTTTCTGTTGTTTTCCCTCTCTAGTGGGAGAGCAAATTTGTGTTGATGGAGAAAAGCATAAAAAATAATATATCATGAGCTTTCCTTATCTTCTTGCAGAATATGCTGTGGACGCCATCTAAAGTGATCTCCCGCCTTGGAAAAGAAATTAACGATGAGAGTTCATATTTGTACTGGGCCTACAAGGTAGGTATTCAATCAGACTACTCGTTTTTTTGTGTCAAATGGTTCTCAATTTGAGTTGTCATGCTGTGTAATCTAGCTTGTCCATTTTTTGATAAAAGAATTTGAAGAACAGTTATAAAATTGCTAAACACGAGAACTTTCTGTTTATTCATGGCATGAATAGCTTTATCCCATTCAGTGCTTATCAATTTATGTATTTTGTTTTTGTAGTTATGGAGTACTGTGATGAACAATATCATTATGATGCTAAGAGGAAAAATAAATAGTGATATGGTTGCAATATCTGCTTACTGATTCTAAAATCTCCATTTATTTTCAGAACAACATTCCTGTCTTTTGTCCTGGCTTAACAGATGGCTCACTGGGTGACATGCTATATTTCCATTCTTTCCGCAATCCTGGCCTGGTTATTGACATTGTGCAGGGTAACAACATATCATTCTCATTTTCTGCCAAGGCATAGTACTTCTGGTAACAATTTGGTGAAATGTTATAATCGCAAGCAGATATTAGGAACATGAACGGCGAGGCTGTCCATGTCGGTCTCAGGAAGACAGGAATGATAATTCTTGGAGGGGGACTACCCAAGCATCATATATGTAATGCAAATATGATGCGTAATGGTGCAGACTTTGCTGTTTTTATTAACACAGCACAAGAATACGATGGAAGTGATTCTGGTGCCCGTCCAGATGAAGCTGTATCATGGGGAAAGATACGAGGTTCTGCGAAGGCTGTGAAGGTTAATTCTTTTGGAGTTGTACATTTTTTAGTCCTTTGCTTTTGTCTGCATTCTCAGATGCCTTGAGGCTTGCTATCAGCTAAGTTTTGAGATTAGATCAAGTCTTATTTTCACATTAAAACAAAAGTTCAATTACTACCTTCTAGTTATTACTTGTTTGATGAGATAATTAGTAGAAAGTAAAATCTGTATATTTTTGTCACATTACAATTTGTTTCTTTTAGCAGGTTCACTGTGATGCAACGATTGCCTTTCCTCTCCTTGTAGCAGAAACCTTTGCTACAAAAGTCAAATAACGTTGTATGGGATGAAGTTTTAAAATGATAATGCAGCTGCGGTGGATAGCTAATGATTGGTCCCGGTAAATTTGATGATGCTATTTGGCACGTCAAGTTCCACTCCTTTGTTCAATGCTGTTTTTCTAGGTGGCGCATTATAAATTGCATTCCGGTTGTGGTGAAATACTACATTGGAAAGGAAATACAACGCCAGCAACAAGTTCCATTGTAATTCTTCAGCTTCTGGTAACTTTGATGCTCAAGAGGAATAGATACGTGCTGTATTTCATTTCCATTCTTTTACTTTAGAATGACCATAGGAGTCCATGAACCTCACATTTTGTGATTTAGGCAGATCTGAATTGTATCTTTAGGCGAGGAGAGTTTTAGGTTGCCCAACTTATTAGTGCAGATAAAGCAAAAGAAAGTTCCCAGATTCCACTTCCCCTAAGTTTTTTGTTTGTTTGTTTGTTACAGGTGGTAGGGGGTGGAAACATATTCAACAATGTCTTACTCCACCTTCTTTAATCATTATGTGGGTTTATAATTTTTTGAGAAATTACTCTTATTTTCTGGGATTCCTTTGAGAAACATGTTTGCATCATTTTGGCTTCTGTGTACATGGAGAAGTGCTCAAATGGTACGAGGAACAAAGGGATTTTGTTTCAACTCTTTCCTAAATCATTCGTGTGTCACAAGTGAAGGCTGAAGAATCACAATAATGGATTCAGCAAGGCACTCGAAGCACCCCGAAGCAGGCAAACCATTTCCTATCATGACTTAATAGAGAACTTATCATGGACAAAGAGCCAACAGCTGAACAATTGCCTTTGTCTGCTAGACTTGAAATCCGCTCACTTGCACAAATAATTATATTAGAATGTATAACTCTTCTACTGTAAGAGTATTTTTTTTATTTTTTTATTTTTATAAAAAGGAAGGCACAAGACTGGAATAACTGGAGAAACTCCACCAAGTTTTCAATGGACACCAAAACATAGTCTATGAGAAACGAACACGGAAGGGGATTAGTTGGGCCAAAGGTCCGGACACCCCTGTGTTGAAAAAAAAAATGAACGAACACAGAAAAATTGAGAAATGGCATTGGTGACGAGTCCTGTGGAAAAACCACCAGCCTTTGGGCTGGTGGTCACCACCTAAGTGGGTGGATTGTCTCCTACTAAAAAATGCCACATCTAAGTGGTTTGTTTCTAAAAAATTCAGATGATTGTGCTGTGCATCCGTTTGGTCCGATGGTGATTTAGTTTCCTCCGGGTTATCTCTGGACCTCCTTAAATCCGCCCCCTCCTTCTTAGCGTAGGATAGAATAGATTTATTGTCTCCGAAAAAAAAAAAAAAAAAAAAGACGAGTCCTGTGGAAGGACGTCCAGTTCACCAAATTTATTGAAGGCCACTTTTAAATCGGGAAGATCAGCGGAGTCGCCTGCAAATGGTCATCCCATCGCCTGAAGGAAGTTGGCAGATTTGAACCCGAGGATCAGCAGCAAGTGATTTGTTAAGCTCCTTTATGTAGAGCCTGGATTCTCTCTGTGTCTCGGGAACCGAGTCTTCTGCTTCAGCCACAGTTCCCATCCAGTGTGTTATCGACTGATTATCCCTGGCTGATTGATTCATCTCAACAAAATTTTCCATGGATAGAGTTATTACCAGGGTCGTAATGTTACATGATGAAGATTACAATTATACCCTCTCAATTTACCATGCTAACAAGTGCCACGTCCAAGGATGGCCATAGCTATTGTCGACAGAGCAGGAAAGATACTCCAAAATGAGCATACATCGTTGACAAGCAATTCAAATCAAACTCTTGAGTTTAGCGAATGTAGATATTATGGTAGATATGCCATACGATTTGTGATTAGCCGGAAGGTCCATAGTGCTACTGCTACACCGTGCTGCAAAATATGTTCGCATAATGTTTACTTTAAGCTTTCTTTCGTTCTGGGGAAGCAATTGGATTTTCTAGATTTTGTTCTGATTCTTTCACTACCAGCTCAATCCGACTAACAATTCATTCAAGGATTTGCTACACAAAATTTCTAGTGTGTATGATAAGTCAAATATACTGACCAGCAGAGACCAGCCTAGTTTCGATTGAAGTAACTTTAATTTTTCCAAGCAAATAAGGAGGGTCTGAGAGTAGAAAGGCAAAGTAGTGTTCCCAAGCTAAATTCATATCCTTCAATTCATTTTCCGGCTCACTGATATATGATATTGGTGTACTATTTGTAAGTTGGAAACATCCAAAGCAGAAGCAACGAGTGGCTATCAAGAAACTTTTGAAGAATTAGTAGTCAGCTATTGTAATATAAGGTACCTCAAACCGTAATGATGCTTGTTGCCCTTGATGGTAAAAACATTATTTACGAGCATATCATCATAAATCACCTATTATAATCTCCCTAATATAGCTTCAAGGAATTTCTTGTTTTCTCAGACTATATATACTCCATCATGGTAGCTAGAAACCTTAGAAAACAGTGTGCATTTCCTATGATCTTATGTGACTAGCAAATAATTTCCTTTCAAAGATGACCTCCTTTATCTATTTCAACAAGGCATTAAAATCTTGTACTGAAGGCTGACATTATAAACACAAAAGAAGAATCTCAAGTCCACAAGTTCATGCTTACAAGCATGTTGATAAAGAACAAGAACTTACAACTACCAAGTACGTACTCCAGCATAAGATTTAGTGGAGACGCTTACAAATAGTAATCCCATCACCCAGAGGAACCTGGGATATTTGAACTCGGGTATCAGCAGCTAGCAATTTGTTGAACTCAATTGTGAAATGCCTGCCTGCTTTCATTTCCTCAGCCACAGATTCTTCCGGCAAGGCCACCAATCCTCCCCAAAGTGTGTTGTCGTATACAACTATTCCACCAAGCTTTAACAATTTCAACAGTTTCTCATGGTACTTCAGATAATTTAATTTGTCCGCATCAACGAAAGCAAAGTCAAAGGCTTCATGGTTAAGATTCTACAGCAGGACCAGAAGATATTAAAAGAGATAAGCTAACTTAACCTCCAAACATGTAAAGTTATAAAACAGAAAGTTAGTATGGTGAAGAGATAACAGAACTAATTTAAGTTGCTTGAACCGTACTTCTTCAAGGAGTTTATCAAGAACTGGAAGAGCCTCGGACTCAATGAAGTCGATCTTATGCTCAACTGCAGCTTTTCTTATAATTGGCAGCCCTATCTCATATGTATCTCTGTTCTGGTCAATTGCTACAATCTGCAAGAATAAATATTGCAAGAATCTCTTATCGTTTGGAAAAAAAAAATAAATAAATAAATATTGTAAGCCAAGAAACAGTTCCATATGTTTGATTCACAATGATGAAGAATTGTTAGTAGCTCTGACCCTGCCATCATCTGGTATTGTAAGGGCAGTAAGCAGTAGGGAGTATCCAGTAAAGACACCAATCTCTATTGTCTTTTTGGCACTTATTAGTTTCAAGAGCATGGCAATCAACTGACCAGCATCTGGGGCAGTTGCCATAGTGGCCCTGTAACAGAAGCTAGCAATCTTAAGGCATAAAATATGACTGATTTGACTGTCATATAGGTATGCATTCTAAAGCAAACTTAGTTTAAAGGCAACAGTATAGAAGTCTGCTGTTTTGGAGGTTTAAACTTACAAGTCAATTTGGGATAGGTATGGATCCAATGTTCAACATGACTATCCAAAGTTTACTTCCAGAAATTAGAGATGCTAGAATTAACCAAATTGTTTTCTGTGAGCCCAGCGGTGAGTCAAGTATAGTTTTTTTTCCATGTAAATTGTCAGACAGTTTCAAAATCATCACCAGTTGAATTTTGGCAAATATTGTTGGTTTCGTTTTTAGGGCAAACAGCTGGGAAAGGCTAGATTAATATGAAATGAAACGGTCTACTAATCTTCTCCTTGCTTCTCTAAATGGAGCAATTAACGGTTTGAAAAATGTTACCACGGATGACTTGCAGTAACATCCCTTAGCTCCTTGAGAGGCTGCAGTTCATGTGGATAGACACTAGTCTCCAGGAGGTACTGAGTCATGGTAAAAGAATGAGTGCCATTAAGCTTTCCAGTAGAGAAATACGCAGATTTCAAACTAGAGGAATAAGGTTACCTGATAGAGTTCCCTACTCTGCAACAATCCCTTGTTTTCCATTGTTCCCAAGCAACTACATAGATGACAGAGTAAATTATTGAACGGATAATAGGCTAATTGAGGCCTAGTGCTGTTGAAACTAATATTAAACATGTAAAGGACCATACACTAATCTTTTTGCCTTGCTAACTATTATACGAGATATAGATAGATGTATCAAAAGGTTGATTCGACATTGAGGAGAAATATAGCAGCAATCCAAACAAAGTTTTTTGATAGTATTTGTCTTGTTCAGTTAAAGGAGAAAGAGGAGAGTACGCAGGTGAATCTCAGCAATTCTCAGCATTTGGTTGAAAGCACAAATTTCTGCAATGAGTGAACTTGCCCCAACATGTAGAACGCTAAACAGCAGAAGCTATGCTGGTGAATTCTAAACTTTTGCAGCACTATGCATCTACCTTTGCCTGGTTTAATAATGTGCTAGGAAATTATTACACATGCTTCAACCAGAACTATATAAATGAACCAGGTATTAAACAAAATAATTAGAAGCCCTGCTACTTTGCGGACTTCATATCTCCTTACTAGTCGCTCTTGAACTTCAAAAGGGGGCATTCCTTGACGTCTTCATTTCACTCAACAATTTACAGATTACCAATACGTATAAAAGCAGTTAAGAGGCTAGAATCCATGAATTGATGATGAAACACCACCTTGTGTGCATCAAGAAACGAATCTAACTGTAAAAAAGAATCAAGAGGCTTGTTCAACCTAAATGAACCATAGCATGTTGATCAAAATCTCGCCAAGTCCCAACATTAGAGTGTTAATATTTCAAGAAGACATTAACTTATGCCAATCCTGTACAAACTGCTTAGATGAGCTTAGAAACCCAAAAAAAAAAAAAAAAAAGTCTTTGAATGCACCGGTAAAGGCAACAAATTATCAAATAATTGAGCAAATAAAAAAGAAATAGTTGAATGATAAACATTCCATTCTCCAATCAGAGGAAAATCACAAAATAAAGCCTCGATTTAGCATCGTACTAACAGAGAGAAGAGCGAAAGAGAGTACCCTAAGCCTTATTTTAAGTTTTCCCGTTCTCTGGAGTGTCGCAAGAGAGAAGGAATCCCAAAGAAAGTAGAGCACGGCATTTTCCCTTGCGTGGGCGACAGCATTGAAGTATTGACGTGGACGACTTGATGGTACACCGTCACCATCCCTTGCGGTGATTGTTCGGTGGCCGCATTAATCTAGAGATGGTCATTGGATTGTCAGACCTCTTCGATCTTGGCAGGTAGATCTTCTAACTTCTAAACCCCCCCCGGCCCCTTTTTTTCTTGAGATATGAAAGATCTACGTTTATTGTATGCTATGGGGACGGAGAACTAAAGAGACTCGAGAGAAAACCGGTGGGAATTAAATCACCACCCAAATGTATTATGCATCCGTTCAAAATCACTTTAAAGTGGTAAATTACATATACTGACCTTTCATTTTACTAATCTTACAAGATTTGGTGATAGCTACTATACCAAATTCAGTGGTTATAGCTCTTCTAACGTTGATGCTTTCTTCGCGATTCAGAATCCAAAACCTTAATCAAGGGGTAGTAATTTTGCTGATTACTACAAGGACTAAGGAGTGGACCGATCGTATAACAAAAGTTGTTATACGGATACCTCTTATAACAAAAGTTGATGATGTTTTCTACAAGGATGGTTTTCGATTTCCGTTCAAGTGTTAACTACCTTATTAGCATTAAATGTCCTTGGGTTGTCACGATTACTCGTATTATTATGTTTTGGATTCTACTCTCGTGATTCATCTTTATTACTATATGAGGATGCTCACCTCGGGCATCCCGAGTGGCCGAGGTGAACTCACCTCGTCCCTCATCAGAGCTTATCCGTGTCCCGGGCATCATCCCTGAGCTCGGCCTCGGCCGTTTTCCTAGCCTACTGTGTAGCCGACCTCGGCACCCCCACCTCAGCTGCACGCTGATGATGTCAAATCATCTGACATCACCCAGGACCAGTGCTTTATCTGAAAAGCACTGGAGGCACTTAATGGCACCTGCACAATACTCCCCGTCATCATGCCCAGGCAGCTACAGTGTCAGAGTCAGACCTCCTGACACGGGACAGAGCCGTAATGACCCGAGAGTGGGTCCCACCAGCATAAGCCCTCCGCTCTGTCCTCTACTCTCCCTCTATAAATACCTCAGACACACTCCCAACAAGTAAGCACACTGTTCATTGGCTTATGCTTTAGTATTTTCTCGTTCTCTTACTAACTTGATCGTCGGAGTGATCCTAGGGGAGAAGCCCCGCCATTCACTTCGGACAAGAGATTGACTTCGGACATCAGAGTTCACCTCACCTCATCTCAGAGAGGACTGATTCAGGTCGGCTCCGTTACCAACCAAAAATCACCTCCTCACTATAGCTTGTGTTGAGTGGATTGAATTTCAATTCGTGTTTGTAATTGTGACTTCACGATTGAAAACATTTGTTGAAAATGAATCACTTTACTCAACTAAAATGTAGTTGAAAAAATGAAAAGATGATCAACTAATACCGTATCAATGCTTGTAACCTAAGGTAAGAAAGATAAAAAGATAGTTGGGACTTGAAAAATCAGGAAGTTGATTAAAAAAAAACGATGCAATCAAAAAAAAATTCTTTTCTCAAATAATCACTTGTCTGGACAAATCTGTGTTGAAGAGATCCCATCGAAATACTCCAACAACAATAATTGGATTTAGCATTGGCACTCCAACTTTGCCAAGTTGTTTGCTCGTCTCCTAGTTAGTTTATGAAATTCTGTATTCAACTATGCCCTCAACTCCCTCGGTTGATAACGCATTATGTATAAATTTCTTTCATTTTTCTTGATAAAAACACAGTTTTGCTGTCTGATCTCCCACAAAATATCAGTTTGAAAACCAAATTTGTTAGTGTTTCACTATATTTCTCGCAATATTTCAATCTATACCATTACCATGAGAAATCCATAGAGGCAAACACTCTTAATTCTCTTTTGTTGTGGGAGGGAGGATGTCCATACGGTGAGAGAACAAATTATCAGCATGCTTCAAATTTCAACGAAAAAGATGTTTCCTTTATGGTATTAAACATTAGGAAAAGATCTCAAATCCCACACAATAACAACATACCACGAGCTCTAGTTAGCCTGTCTCTGGTGTCGTACCAACTAATTAGGCAAAGAGCAGCGATCGGTTTTTATCTTTTATAAAAACCAAAACTCATGTACAAAACAAATTGAGGCATCTTTTATACAGCAATCAACACTATATCCTTTGACATGTATGAACCAACGTACTTTTCCACTATGCGAACTTTATATACTGTAACATCCTTTCCTTCCCAGAATTCTCTTTAGACAACAAGCTCCAGTCGCCTCTAAAGAGCCAGATCCCCTTATTGCAATGTATCAAAGAATCAAAGCATATGAGAAAAAAAAAAATTTCACTGACGATTCGTCCGAAGAGCCTGAAATTTGGCAGCTAGCGTGTCATAATCTGGGAGCTTTGGATGAACATGACTAGCTTTCTTCAAGCTATCCTCTCTACTAAATGCACTCCCACTTGCTGTCTTCTGATTTTCAGTGCTATCAGATGTTTCTAACTTTCGCTCTGAGCTCTTTGGTTGTTCTAAGCCAGATGACTTTCGCTTTTCCTCCGGCAATGATACCTTAGACACCAAACTTGGGTTAGATGCTACTTTCGCTGAGCTAGGCTGCTCAGAATTTCCTGGCTGATCTGAGTGCCTAGTCCGTGATCGGGATGCATCTACCTTTTGTTCTGAGCTGGGGAGCTGTTCTACTCTAGATGAGCTTTTGTTTTCCTCTGGCAATGGAATGCTAGACATAAAACTTGGATTAGATACTACTTTTGCTGAGCTAGGCTGCTGGGAATCTGCCTGCTGGTCTGAGTTCCTAGTCCGGATCCTAGATTCTTGAGGAGTTTCGACACCATAATGTCTTTTTGGATTTCTTTCCACAGAAGAATCAGGATTTACTTGCATCCTAGAGTTTGACCCACCCTTTAAGTTAGAAACTAAGGTAGAACTCGATGGAGAAGCTTTTGTCCTCCTAGAAATTCCACTTCCCAAATGACTTCTGCCAGTGAAAACTTGAGCAGAATCATCCTCCGAGTCACTACTATCCGAATCAAAATATGTTACTGAACTTCTCAAGCTTGACTGCTTTCTATCTTTGTTCCCTGGATGTTGAATATTTGGGTCTTGTCTGCGACTTGCTGGCTGTTTCCTAAGTTCCTCTACGGAACTGTCACTCTCTGAATCAGAATGGTAATTTGACAATCTTGAGCTTCTACCACTACCCACACCTTCATTCTTTCCTTTATTAGCCAAGCTTTCAGTAGTAATATAAGCAGCAGGCTGTGGAATCATGCTTGGATTGGCTTCAGAAACTCTTCCAGCCGAGGATGAAGTATCATCCACTTGACTCCTTGTATAAGGAGGGCGCATATAACCCTTCTGCCGAAGGCCACCCGTCAACTTCTTTAAGCTCAACGCCATGCTACCATCTGAACTTTCATCATCCATCTGCCTTCCATGTGAATGTGATACCCCTACATTGTCCTCAACTTCATGAACCAACGAACTCTTTGATCCCGAGGCACCGAGGTTTCCCACCCCATCCACTGAATTGTAAAAGCTAGACTTGCTGCCGACAACAATGGGCTCTTGGCGAGACTCTCCAAGTCCTGTAGATATTTGGCTGGCAGGTGAATCGCCAAATCCAAATTTTTGCGACGACTCAACTACAGTTTCTGCTCTGTAACTGTCATTCCTATGTTTTTCAGCATTTGAAAACCTAGGACTTTTATTTCGTTCCGTTGAAAGATCTTGAGGATACACTGTCCCATGGTGACCAGAATAAAGCATATCAATCTCATTCTCAGAATTTGCACCATCTGAATCATGAAGCTTTACATTATCGTACTTGCTGCCAGCATTAATGGACTCTCGATGAGACTTTCCAAGTCTGAAAGAAGATTGACTCGTAGGTGAATCACCAAAACCAAATTTTTGTGAGTCAACAGCAGTTTCTGTTGTGTAGTAGTCACTCCTATGCCTTTCAATGTCTGAAAACCCAAGACTGCTACTTTTTTCAGTCAAAAGATCTCCACAATCCACTGTCGCATGGTGAACAGAATGAAGCATATCAATCTCGCTCTCGGAATTTGCACCATCTGAATCATCAAAGGTCGCAGGACCAAAATTATCTGCTTGTGAGCCATCCACAGGTGCTTCTAAGCTTTCAAAAGACTCGGGGAAGGAGTGCTTTTTGGTGGAAAATTCTGATATAGAGCTTTCCAGTGATTTGGTTGTTTTAGATTCAAGGCTTTCATTCCCCTTACTATTAGAAAGACGAGGAGGTGAGTTCCTACCCAGTGGTGCAAACTGATAATTTGATTCCTCATCAATCCGGAAACCCTTATCAAACGCAAAATCTTCAGTGTCTGAACCAGAATCATCAAAAACTACAGGAGCTGCACTAGCATGATAGCTGGGTTGTACAGTATCTCTAGCATTTTTCTCTTGATCAATATCAACAGAAAATTCGTTACCAGCATCATAGTCAAACATGTTGTGGCCAGAAATTGAGTATTTTTCATCACTGCTAGAGACGCTGGAATGGGAACTGGAAGAGAGGACACTGGATTGTTTATTAATCCTACCTTCTCGAGAATAATCTAGGTTCTCAGAACTAAAACCCTCTTGCGAGTGATTCATACCTTCAATCTGAGATTTACCAGAATGTTTTTGCATAGTGCTTTGAACTTTGTTTTCCTCCTCATTTGATAAGCTTCTATGATGATTACCATCTGGTGGCATTTGAACACTATGAGCAGCAGTATCAATCTTATATGAAGCTGTTGATCTTGAGGAAGCAGAATGTGCATATATTTTTCCATAATCATGACCATCACCATAGGAGTTCCCAGAGAATCTCCCGTTATCATGTTCAATCCCATCCATTGGTCTGTTTTGAAACCTAGGTTGTCTATCGGAAAAGGAGCTGTTAGCTGGATCTCTAGGAAGGTTATCACTTTTGTATTTTGAGCTCCCATGTTTTGCAGTTCTCTCATCTCTACGAGCATCACCAGCAGAGCTACGCACTTCTGAGGGATATTGTGGTTGAGTTGCACCCCTGCCAAGGCTTGAAAGTTCTGCAGCAGCTCTAGCAGCCATACTTGCCCGTTCAGCAGATTCAGCAGCTGCCTGTGCTGCAGAGGTAGCATCTTTGAATTCCATCTTCCAACTTTGCCTAGTGGAATAAGAATTCCTCTCTTTCTGAAATGAATGACTGACTTCTCCCACATCTGCTTCATCTCCTGATGGACAGAAATCTATATGAGAAAAAGTAAAATTTACACACCAAAAATTATAACACCATTTATTTTCTGAAGATTGTAACATACCTGAAGGCCTCATTTGACCCTGTGGAACAGAAGATACTCTGTTGCTGCTGAGAGTATTGTCTCTAGAAGCAAGTTTCTGGGTTTCTTGTGATCTCAAGTTCTGTTCAGGGAAATTTACAGGTTGATTATCCATCATGTGATGACTAGGTGGAGCCTGAATATCAGGAGCTACATGAGGACAAGCTTCAGCATGTACTGCACTGAACTTCTCAAAGGTGCTTGGTCCATTCTGATCATTATATAGAATAA